GCCCTGTCTTCATTTGGATCCTGAATCTCGACATTTCCTTATACTATTTAATTCTTTCGATACTTAATATTTTCTACTACTGCTGATATCGTTACTATTTTGATCGCTCCACAATTGGTTTTCGTAACCTTATCTTGTCGTGCTAACGTGGTGTAAAAACTTGAATCGATGCAAATATGTGCTGTGTTCTACATCGCATATGGCTAAATTAATCAGCATCCGTTACTAGGCTATTTACCTTAGATCAACTTAAAGTAGTTGGACGCAATTGGCGAGAAACTCTGGACTTAGGTGTCATGCTGTTTTTCACTTATCAGCTAGACTCCCTGTTGGATTTACATCAGTTCTGATAACTTTTAAAAGGCTGACGGAAATCTGGTATTGTATTCACCCTTGGTGTTAAGCTTTTAGATATAACTGAGGGATTCGTGTGTTTGATTAGTTGTAGTTGTGTTGTACACTAAATAAATGCGTTTAGGGTTAAATTGTGCGACGTACACATGTTTATTTTTGATGCTGTCTTAGCTGTTAGCTTAACTATTAGTCAGGTGAAAATGTGTCTGGTACACCCAAATCCTATACGCTATTTACTATATATGACCTTTTTAAGCTGTTAATTTTATTTCTATCTGTGAATACTTTCTCATGTTTATATTTTCAACTATTTCCCTAATGGAGTTCTACATTGAAACAGATTTATTGACAGGCTTTTAATCTTGTGCTTTTTAGGTGGTCGAAACTCCGGGAAATACAAGCCATTGTACGTCAACTGTTTCTGTTATTCAAAACTCAGGACCCACCGACAGTACTTCTTTTACCGAGAATGTGGCTACTACTGGTCATCAGGCTGTTAATCCAACGATTGATTCCAACTCTAACTTGGAATCTTTCACTTCGGAAATATTTGACCATAAAGTGAAATCAATAAATCCTAATTCTTCAAACCATTCAAAGTCATTATCGGAAGATTTACATATGAAGTCAAGTAATGATGAAAAATCTAAAGAACCAAATAAAAAACACGTCTTTAATTCGTAAGTTTTATTCCACTTTTCTTCTCTCCACTTAAATATTACTTGAATAACTGTACAAAAAATAACTTCAGAATAGATCCTACTAAATACAGTCAGGTTGACAGTGATATCGGACCATCATTAATAACACAGTGCGGCGTCAGAGCAGGGATTTACCTAAAATTGGAGACTATCAACTGTTTAGTCTTCGGCAACCGGTTTATGTGTCATGCTAAACAATTCTAGCTTTTCTACTCTAAGATGGTTTGGTCAGTCAAACCCAATGTAGAACCTTGCACATGTATACAGCGGTCCAAGTTCTCATACCCCATTAGCACAACTAAATTAAATTGTTAGAGAAAAATCCCAACTTAGTTCTGTTTTAGTGAAATATAAGGTTATGTTTCTTTAAGGTATAAATCATCCCAGAACTTTTTAATTCTACTTTTGTCACTCTTCATGCAGTACATAGTTTGAATCCATTCACTTTTCTATTCAAACTGACATAGTTGATTATCGCATCTCTGAAATAAAAAAGTAAATATACTCATATGACGAGTTTTTGTGTTTCACGCCTTTGATTTACGTGTAGGCGTATATGTGTTTCGAAAGTGAATGACTACCAGACTAACTTCCAAATTATAGTCATGTTCAACCCATGGACTCAACGAACACAGCTACTACTCATCCCACTACAGAATGGGAGTCGAACAATCAGCACAAAGTTTGTAAAATGATTACATAAAAGTGTTGTGTATGTACTACAATACAAACAAAATCATTTTGACAACTCAATAGTAGTAGCATTTAATGTTGGTAACAAGTTTACATGGTCTTGATAGATCTGCATTCTTTCTGTTTGAAATATGTTAATGATCAAAAAACAATTAAAGATTACAAATTATTAAGTAAGTATTTCGATAATTTATTTATTTATCTCAACACATAGATATTGGTACAAAGAAGCACCAAATACATATGCGCCACACACATCTCATTAGATTTGTGTGAGGGCTGTGATACTGCTTTTCGCTTTTCGTCCTCTCATTTTCGTAAACAACAGTAATGCCACGAGAAGGCAGTGATTAGGACTTCCCTGGCAGAGGCTATATACGCGTGGCCATGTGAGAGCATTTCAAGAGGGAGAGCGGACTTTTCCCACTCTCGGGGGTATTCGATAAATTACACTCAGGATCTTTAAAACATTTTGGAAATATATTGATTACTCTTTGAAACTGAGTATACTTTTGCAGTTAAACTAGAATAAAGTCCAGTATTATTAACATAAAGCACTAAATTTGCCATGAAAATTGCAAACTTTTCCAACTATGTATTTTAACCAGTTATTAAGAGGAAAAATTGAACCATTCACAATGCTAGTTGTATTTTAATCAACTGTTTTGAGTAATACTGATTTTATAAATAGCCAAGTTATTAGTTAGTTATATTGAATTATTGTTATTTATTTCTTTTCAGACATTGTATGAATGATTCCCGATCAGCATTACCATCTGTTGTCAACCAAGATGAATGGGATATCGATTGGCACATGTTTTTGAATGAATTAATTTGGTCTAGTTTGTGTAGTAATGAAGTCTTATCGAATGATACCTGACGTTTCATTAACATGTAATACGCATGCTGATGATATGATTTATCAAGAATATTTTTAATGTTACTTTTTTACTTCATTAGTATATTACCCCACTCGATAAGACTGTCATTTTAGACTTGCAGTGCTCAACTGTGTATGGATGCCGTATCTCTGGTGCTTGTGTGTCAGACGGCTTTTATGTTCATTTTAATCGTCAAGGCGTAAACGACCTGTTGCATTCACTGCTTGTACATGTGAGTCGATTGGTCTAACAAGATGTGTATATACAAATATATATTCTGAAGTATTTATAAGATAGATGTCTTTATTTTATTCAATACAAAAAAAACAATAAGTCGTTAGCTTTACTGTTAATATTAACGCTAAACAAGTTACTAATTTCTTCTGCTTATCATATTCCATTATTTTTGGTATGCTGACTACCAGCACACTTTTCAAGTCCCATTACATTTTATTTTGCTCAGCCCTTCTTGGTTTAACAAAAACAAGCGTAAAAGAATACTGTGATTAGTGTTCTATGTGTTTATGACATATACCATTCTATGAAGGTAATGGTAAAAATTTAGTTTTTAGAGAAAATATTTTTTATTTCCTTATATTATAATACATGAGATATACATAACGTATATAATGACGTGCTCAATAATTTTTGTGTAAGAAATTATTATTGGCTTTGAAATCGACTTTCTACTTTCCTTCCAACTACCGTGTTTTGCATATACAGTATGTTTCGCGTTGTATTGGGGATTTTAATAGGGCTCAATGTACAACCTACTGTGTAATCTCGCAGTAAGACAATGCTGTCACTACACTGAAAGATTGAATCCCACACATTGTATGTCCCTTCCAGGTTTGTTTTTAGTATATCGCCGATGGCAAAACTGAATAGGAATGATGGGACTCGGCAATCATATATAAACCTACTGTTGTTGTGGAATAATTGAGACGGTTGTATGGCCTCACTCTGTGTGAAATATATTCTCATAGTAGCTTTAAAGTGGCAATAAATCTCCCAGTTACGCCCTTCCAATGTGATCCCAATAGAGCTCTATTCAATGGACCAAAGACCCCTCTATTGTCAAGGGCGTGTGTTGAAGGTATTCAAGTTGTCATTTCATTCACAACCAAAACATGAACGGGAATTAAAGGGACCATTAACTGCAGGTATAGTTTACAAAACAACGGAACTGCAGGCAGGATCGCGTGATAATTGTTGACCTTAGTGATCTATTTCGCTCGTCTACTCGGAATCCTGGGAATTCTATGCACCTGTCTGGATTTAAAGTGTTTCAGCCCCTATAAGTTGATCCTTTATCTCTACAAAGGGTTTGAGCACCGTACGTCCACTCTCGCATACAGAAAGGTTATCATTAAGATTTGCATCGAAAGGACTGTAGTTTTGCGGTTGTATGAAAGGATCTCTAGAGAGAAGGTTGATTCTTCATGTGCTTCGCTGTGTCAAAGCCTTTTTGAACTCAACACAAAAAGTCGTAGAAATAAGAACTTTTGTGGAAGAGATTAAAAACGCTTATATGGAAGTATTCCTACTGTCAACGAAACCTACGTACCCTCGACCGTACAACAGCTCTTGAGGATTACGTCATCAGCATATTTACTCATATTCCTCGTGCGATGCATTACTTGTATTGCATCTAATAATATCTATCTGGTAGTAGTATATCGAGTCACAAAAAATCACTCACTAATTAAAAATCGCAATTACAGACAGGAGATGGTTATTCGCACACACTGTTTCACATGTACATTAGTTTTGTTTGTTTGCTACTGAAGTCCAAGGGCTATTAACTGTCACTGTATTAGATTTATCGTTTAATTTACTTATAGTAGATAAAGATAAGACAGACATGATTTTTTACTTCAGGTTTTGTGGAGATGGTTAAATCTTGTTGCTTACATAACTGACTGGTTTTTAGTTAAAAAAACCATTACAAAATAGAAAGCACTAAACAACTAGTTCGTCGTATAACGGGACTCAGCAGAGCGCATCCATAACTAGATTGTTCAACAAAATCGGCAAAGCACAAGTGTGGTAGTGTATGTCGATGCGGGTCAACAGTTTTTCCGTTAGCATAAAACCTACATAGTGAACTGGTCCGTGTATATACATAAACACAAGTTTTTTTCCGTTATGACTGCTGGGTACATGACCCTTAAAAACTAGTTTTAAAAACTTACTTATTCGACTAGAGGGATGGTGTAAATGCAAAGAACAAAACAGATATGCGATACAATGGATGGTTGAAAATATTTTTCTCACTCACGTATGTTATAATAATACGTTCACATAATAATCAGACTATTCACGTTATATGAGATCCAGGATTCCCGATCCAGAATAGACAACTAGAGTACAGACTAGATAATACTTTATTCAACACAATTACAAGCAGTCACAGTGAGTCCGAAGTAGGAATCACTGAGATGAAGGGAAATCACATATTTAATAGTCAGCAGGCTGAGTACCCTTTTGTTCATGTTCAGCGACCAATCACATTTCACTCTCATTACCACACATCAATCTGAGTATCTTGTTTTTATTTATTTCAATAGCGTATGAAGTATCTATATGATAAGTCATAGCAGTAGGGAATAACAACCCGTCATGACAAAATGAAAATATATACTGGTTATTAATAACCACAATTTGGTCTATATACTATGTCGGACCGCAGTTGCTACAAATATGTCAAACTTATATTACTATGCACAATGGTTTATGGGTGATTGTTTTACATATACTTGTTGCTTAAACCAAAGCAGTGCCTTCAAATTACGTGGAAATGATAGTGACCTGGTAAACCGAGGTACGAGAACGTACTGCTTGAATATTTTGGAAAAGAATCAGCTTTCCATAATACTTGGACAATTCTAGACTTCGGGTGTTGAGACTATGTCTTAAAATAGGATGCAGTAGTGCACATACATTACCATCTTACTACACTAGAGTAGGTGATTGCTATGCATTTATTTACACAATTCATACAATAACCAGTAGAAAAGTTTACCACTGATTACATCGGAAATACTGTACAAAACTCCTTAACTTAAAACCAAGAAGTACCTTAAAAGCATGAGTCTATGTATTTACAAAGGCAACGAGGATGAACCTCTTAAGTGTACATTACGCGCTTAGGAATTTATCTTGCATAGTCTTTTCGATATCTACCTAAAAGTTCGAATACGTATACCATACCAAAGCTGGCTGAAACGTTTTTAGAAAGGTTTGAGTGGTTTATTCTCCATGGAGACTTGACTAGATTGTCCTGTGCTCCTTAGAAGACAAAAGTCAATGTACAATTATTTGTAAAGGTCTAGTAGGTAGTGTTACAGTATGCTTAACAGCAGCCACATCAGTTTTTTTTAGTCTCCATAACCTTTCCATACCAACGCGACGATCGTCGAGTTGCGAGAGGCCTGATAAAGAACTCTGAGATAAGAGTTCTGCTCTATCCCGGGGGAATCATGTCATTTAGAGCTGAAGAATTTTACAATTATATGTTCCATCACTAATTCATATAAGTTCCTCGTGCTTGATGCGAACATTGTGTGAGGAGTTCTGAGGCTCGGCAACGTGTATTTGGGTGTATTGGAGACGACGTGAAGACACTGGCTTAAGTGGCATGGATATGTTCCACATATAGAGCTCGGTGGCCATACCATTTATTGGCACCAATGTCGGATGTTCCTAGTTAGTACTACATTTTCTACCAAAATTGTGACGCGGTTATATGTAGCTTATTTCTTGATCTTTCACTATAGCAAGAGCACTCGTGTTTCAAATAAGTGTTCATATAAATCGTATAGTCACTTTGCGAGGAAAAGGACCTTTTATTACAGCTGCACACGTGGGTTGGACTCTTCTAAACAACACCGAAATAAGCATTAGCCATTTAACTACTGAAAATTATATAATTAGGATTTTTAAGTCACTATTTGTATCTTTAAATCCACGGAACTACGTGAAATTATTTATTTTGATAACCTACAGGAACTTTTGTTGAAAATTTCAGGTGTAGTATATGCGGTGTAAATAATCATTGAAAATGTAATTGCTTGACTCAGCGGACGTAAATAGATTAAGTATCCGAATTCTTTACGGCTAGCATACTTCATGCGGATAAGCAGAGCTCCAGTGACAATCACACCTGGAAAGGGAATAATAATTTTAGTGTATCTTACCAACAGGTATTAAAGGATTTGCTTTCATCATCAGGATCATTCGTTCAAATGCACTTGTTCTCCCGCAGTCCATAATTTGAGAGTCGTTCATTTTGTCAAGCATATCAACGTCTAAACATAGATTTTTCGAAAAAGAAATGCATAACACAAACAGTAAGGGGAGTAATAAATGGATATACAATGAACACAAATGACGTATTTACTCAAGAATCTCGCTTATCACACATCCTACTAACAAGAGAATGCTGTATTCAGTGATAATAAATTTTAAAATCTGAGATAACTTGAGAGTATATTATTGAACTTATGTTGCATTGCACAAGCAAGTCTTACATGCTACGCTCGCTCCTTATACATTTTAATATCGCAAAAACAGCTAATTGTAAGGACTTGTTTTTCTTGCAACTGAATTTTTTACGCACTCAGTCTATTTTTGAAAGACAGTGGAATATGTTATGTTAAGACTGTAAAAGTTGAAACCTTGCGCTAAATATCATATTTCACGAACTAAAAAAAACACAGCTTACTGTATATCAATTATACCGTTGAGACACAGTAGTACGGTCTCCCATTTAACCTGATTTCGAGAGTAAAGACGTGATTTGTACTGGTTTGTTTTGTAAAATAAGGGGTGGGAGTAGAACCAGTTCAGATTTGCAGTTTGACGATGGTGGTGAATAACTGATTGGAAAAGTTTATTTATTTGAACACACAAATATTAGTACAAGAGGGCACCAGATACACATGCGCCACACAAGTCACTTGGTTTGTGTGTGTGTTGCGATACTGCCCTGGTGCCCAGACCGAAGCAGGTGTTTGTCTAATGGGGCCACATCCTGAGCCTTTGATCTAAAGTTCTAAACCACAAGGCAGTAGAGGTGTAGTTTCATGGTAGCCGGTGACCAACAATTTGTTCGTATGCCATTTGTTCCTTCAGGATCCTGGAGCCCATGTGCACCATTGGTTTAGAATCAGGGTTTCCGATCTCCCCTTGATGCATCTCATATATCCACTGACCCGGTTAAAGCGCTAGGCACTAGCCTTTCATCCTCAACTTAGTTAACAACACCCCCTCCGCAAGAAGGCAGTGAGTAGGATTTCCCTGGCAGTGAATGTATACGAGCAGCCATGTGAGAGCGTTTCGAGGAGATCGGACGCTCCCCACCTTTGGCCGTACCAGGGCATTTGGTGGCTTAAATTCAAATTTTACAGAAGACCATATAAGTAGAGAATCAGTGTCTGGTAGATATATAGCTTTTATTTACACTATTATCGATATATTTGTTTATAGGTTTTAGTTCGAATCTGGTGACAGAGTTTTGAGAGGATATTTGAGAAATAAGAAAAACTAAGTTGATTTGTAGTAATACTGATTATGAGTACGAATAATATAGGACTTTTATTGTGTTGAAAGATACTGAATCCCCAAACATTGGTTGAACACATGCGAACAAAGCAAAAGTGAAATATTTTTAGTTGCTCATTTTGTAATAGACATAAGGTAGTAAATCGAAGCATGCCCCCAAATGCCTTGGTACGGCCAAGAGTGGGAAAAGTCCGCTCTCACATGGCCATGCGTATATAGCCTCTGCCAGGGAAGTCCTAATCACTGCCTTCTCGTGGCATTACTGTTGTTTACGAAAATGAGAGGACGAAAAGCGAATGTTCGGCGCTTTAACCGGATTACAAACCAATGGTGCACATCGGCTCCAGTATCCTGCGGGAACAAATGGCGTATGAACCGATTGTTGGTCACCGGCTTCCATGGGACTGCACCTCCTTACGATGCCTTATCGCCTTGTGAATCAGACCTTCAGGCCGAAGGCTCGGGGAGTGGCCCCCTAAGAAAACCACCTGCTTTGGTTTGGGCACCCGGGCAGTATCACAGCCCTCATACAAATCTAATGAGATGTGCGTGGCGCATATGTATTTGGTGCCTCTTTGTACCAATATCTATGTGTTGAGATAAATAAATAGTAATAAATCGGAGCATTAAATAATAGGATACTCAGAACGAAATGCATTTGAGCAGTTTTGACTGATTACTAGTTATTTCTAAGCTCATGATTCGAGAGTTTCATTACTACGAACGTAAACGGGAGTTGTTGCACGGCGACCCTGGGAAATGCCCGTGTGCCACATGCTACGTTGATAAGAACTGATTGACTGAAGTCACAATATACAGCTTTAACCGCCGACAATTGACATAATTCAGTCAATATAAGTATTCGGCTTGATAATTCTCCAAATGTTTCAAACTTACGCAAAAATAAACGAACAATGTTACTTAGGTTAACAATTTTTTAGTGTGTGTGAAACACGCTTCGGTTTTAAGAGAGTTTTAACGAATTAATCAACCAAAATCGGAATATCAGTTACTCAGAGTTTAATCTGCGTCTAGCCTTTGGGATGAAAATACCTAGATGAATTCGCATAACACCAATAGCTTGTATCAATCATGAATTAACTTTAAAACTCAGAGGTAGTGGGGCCAGTTAGGGAGAATGCTTACTTCTTAAAGTATTATAAGCTTTTAGTACAGATGGAAAATACTGAAAAGTATCTACGATATATCTTTCAGTGTGAATACCCTACCAAATATCATATATTCTTACCTAGATATGACTTAGAATACATGAAATACAACGAAGTGCTACAACTGTAGATTATTTATCGAGAACCCCTCGAAACAATTGTTTCGAGACTAAAAACTATTATCAACCACTTGGATCTTCTTCATTAATATGCATATTCGTTTGCATACTAAAGACTGATGACGGTTTCCCGAATGTCGACGAAACCCATGGATTAAGTATGCGGCTAAGCACCCAGACTTCCAGATTTAGTAAGACTGACGTTTTTATCAGGGTCGTTAGAATTTTCAGTTTCCTGGATTTTATTAACAAAGTCTTACAACTGTGGGGAGAATTCCATCGACGTTCGAAAGACAGTTTTTTATGAGAAGAACAAACTCTAGCAAAATATACACACACTAACGACCTTGGGCCATCAGTAAATTTTCAAAACACACACGGTGTAATAAATCGGTTGAGCCGAGTTAATTATTGTAGCTTGTTAACCATCGAAGATCAAGATTCTCTTAAGGAGTTTCCGGAAGAACTTTTTAAACGGAAACTATCATAACATTTTCATATCAGATTCAGAATTACGTAGTTAGGACAGGAGATTTACGGCCTGTGATAGTATTTTTCTAGTAAGCTTTTGAGCATGTCTAGTCTTCTCGTGAATGAGCCAATTGCGGAGGTAGACACCACTGCTTCGTGTAACAAGTTCCAAAGATTGAAAACCAGATGTGAATATCTGTATGATGCGGGCATTTTGTTCATTCTTGGATTTTCTATTCGCCTGCTATCTCCCTGAGATGTCCTGATCCAGTGAGAAGAAATGGAGAGCATTCATTAGGTTCAAAAGCATTTCTTAGTATTGTATGCATCAAAAATCAGCTTATCTCTAATTCTGCGATAGGGCAGAGTAATGGAGTATAGCTTGTAGTGTAAGTTATTATGCCAAGCCCATATACCTTATTCCCATTTTATTCATTCTACTTGAGTCATATTTTGACCTTGTTAATTCCACGCTTATTAGCCTTGACTGTTTTTATATGAGCGTATATGTGTGCGCCCTTTTTATTCCATTAATCACATGTCTGTAGCTTCATTTTGTCTGACTATAAATATTGAGTAACGCTTGACTAAAATGGAGTTGGCTTCCCAGCCATCTTCCCTGCGCGTCATTTCGTTTTGTTCTATCGCATTCACTTTGCATACAAAATATATGTATTCAAATGCCATTCTCGTTAATTGACTTATTTAATTTCGTTATTGGATAACGCGATTTAAGTCGACGACGATATACGAGAATTGGCGATAACAAACATCCATACAATTATTCGTACAATCTAAAATGGAGTCAGATCAACGGCACAAAAAGCTCTTCAAGCGGCTCTTTGTGTGGTAAAGACCGGAGTTCTGGAATTGCACGGCTAGCTGCCCTCTGTACATTTTTTAGGATATCCAAGTCACCTTTCAAACAGAGGCTTGCAGCCTGGACTAAGTTGTCAAGCTTGATTCTCGTTAAGGTTGTGTATATTCCAGTGAACATGGTAGTATCTATTTTGTTGAATGTGTAGTTGCATTGAACTGTGTAGCGGTAAAAAATCCCTAAAACAAATAGCTTTGTAACTCTTCGACATTTTATGCTGACCACATTAGTTTTACTGGACTCAGCTGAAAGCGCGCGGTCATGGATTTGCACCAGATCACGAGTGGGAACGCCGTGTTCAACAACCCCTGCAATCGCTAGCCAGATTAGATCAGACGATCCTCGATATATTGATAGCATATGAAATATATCTTCGAACCTCCTCGCTTCTGTTTTTGATTTCACTTGGTGGGTACGATTCATATTAGGTGTTACTGGTTAAAGTGTTTTCCCGATGCATATGGCATCTTCATTTGTGAGCACGATATTACCTAATACACCAACATGCAAAGTGTTGGTCAGTTTCTTTTTGGGATTTTATACATCAATAATTCACATTAATTTTTATATGTTGTGATATCGGTTTCTGTGTTTTCGGACATATATATATATATATATATATATATATGAATATTTCCTCGTCCATCCTTGTACGTGATATCTCACCATGACGGATTAGATACCTAAGGTTCGTAAGCTAAAGAATATGTCACCACCTCATTTTTAATTAATGCTCTTCTGGCCGGAGAACATCGAAGCCTGGTTCTGCCACTCAGAGGCCGACTTGTGCGAGCACATGCGTGCGAAATTCCTCGCAGTAGTGAAGGCACTACGATTAGCTTCCAGTATTATCTATCATGTTTCACTGTTTAAAAATTCACAAGGCATGTATGAAGAAATAACACTTATTAATAGCAATTCACAGCGTCCTCGTACGGGTAGTTATGTCCAGAAATCTCCAAAACTGAGACATTGGTGGGTCGCATCATGACGTTGGAAACTAAAGGTTTCAGGTTCCTGAATGAAATGATGGATTCTGTTATACCTGTTTCCACAATGAATTCGTGAACTGCAGCAAGGGACTTATACAATCGCTTTTGAATATGAGCATTACATTTCGCAATAGTGGATAAAGATAGATGATCGTTAGAATTCCTTGAATGAAGGGAATCTTAATTACAAGGTTTAGTATAACTTGAAGCAAAACGAACAGCAGTTTTGAATACCAACTTAATATGTCCAATCTTATCACATTTAAAACATTTGTTATTACAAAATGCATATGAATTACGAAAATGATATTTCCTATGGGATAAACATTTACCAGCTCTCTTTTCAAACCTGGCATGCTGATTCGTGCAATTTTTCAATCACGCAGCTGCACATAGATTCAATCACCAAAATCGCATCTAGCAGCATGTTTTTTGCAATTCAAGGAGGAAGTTCATAAACTTCGGTTGTCAAAAGTACCTCTCTCCTCACTGTTATTTCCTTGACTACGACTTTCCAATGTATCTCACCAGTGTTCTGGCTTTTAAATCTTCATTCAGTGTGCAAAGTTGAAAGTGAGGGGGGATTTTTATTTTTCTTAAACAATGGGTAAAAAGTAACATAGGCTAGGCTATCGAAGTAATATTTATGAATGTTATCAGTGACGTAATAGATTTGTGTTATTTGCGGTTCACTGGGAGCGCGATTAGGCTGAGACAGACACATATTTTGCACAAGGGCTTTTATGACCCCTATTTAGACTGATAAAATCATTTCTCCCGACGCTTCACGTAGAATTTTAATCGCTCGACAGAAATACCCATTGTGGTTTTCTGCATCTCCAATCCTTTCTTCTAATTTAGCTCTTGAATCAATTCCTTAGATGATTCTTGTAACGGCGACCTAAATTTACATGGCAACGTCAAGTAAAATGGTGCGGTGTGTGATTTATATCTTCACTCCAAGTTTAGTTTATGTAAAGAGAAGCGAGTGTATTTGTAAGCGTTTCTGGAAGAATATTAATTACCCAGCCAGATGGTTTCAAGAAGCTTCTATTCAACGCCGAATGGGTAAAATGTTTTCGAGCACCTTCAAGGTCCCTCTGGCAGTTTTCTGGGGATACTTTGGATATCCTTAACAACTCAAACTTCATTGATCATGAATAAACAAATAATTGGTGTGAACGTGAATACTGTTTACTAAATGCAGATTATCACGTAGGTCAACTCTATTGATTTCATTGTCTAACTGAAACAAAATTCGTGAACGATTTTTGTCACAAACGACTGTGTGTTTAGGCCTAACGTTGCGGATAGTTATTATGTCAAAAATATTATATTAATAGATGAATCTATGATTTGATGTAAGCTAGACCACTATTGAAAACCTGAAGGCAGTGAATGGCCGTTCCGTTCTATTAAAATTACTACAATCTTCATAAACTCCATGATGATAATAATCATCATATGCTCGTTACTGAAGTTCCAGCGAGAAGCCGTGACCCGTGGGGTCCAATCCGTGTCGGGCTAGATACAGGACAATATATTGAATATGAATAAAAGATTAAGTAACAACACTTAAGAGTGACTACACATGCAAGGGTGCGCCATGCCGTCCAACCGATTCGAATCCACTGAATTTTTTTCTTCCCGCCCTCTCCATTGTCGGGTTTTTCTCCGCATCAAATTTTGGATATGAAGTTTCCAAATTATCTCGTTTTCAGCTTTAAGGATCGTGTGACTAGGTTCCAATGCCACTACAGACCAGCGATCGCATCGCTAAAAAGTCTATGTAATCATAGTCATGAAATTTACGCCTCAAATTGGCAATCTAACCTTTCCGTATGACATTGAGTATACACCAAAAGTACCAACGAGTTTCTCTCATGAGATATAGACGTATTGTAGACAACTGGGAAAATACATATTCAATATTTGATGCGGAGAAAAACCCGACAATGGAGAGGGCGGGAAGAAAAAAATTCAGTGGATTCAAATCGGTTGGACGGCATGACGCAACCTTGCAGGTGTGGTCACTCTTAAGTGTTGTTACATAATCTTTTTGTTCTCCATCATATATTGATAATTGTTACGATGCAATGAGTTGGTGTAGACAATGACGTGACTTACACGTAGGATCTCATAGATTAGGTAGTTACGTCATGAAAAATCTGCAATCTTAGGATTAAGACTATTATTCAAATGGTACTAATAACGCGGTAGATCATAATTCTGCAAGGCTCTGGTCATGTACTACCTTATTAGAACCATGGACAATAAGGTCATCTTGATAAACTTCAACTTCTCCAGGACCATTGATTACATTATTCATCACTTTCTGAAATGTGGCTGGAGAAGAACGAAGACTGCATATTCGCCTTCCATTCTCTCAATTTAGTTAACAACACCCCCTCCTCAAGAATGCAGTGAGTAGAACTTCCCTCGCAGTGAATGTGTACGAGCGGCCATGTGAGAGCGTTCTGAGGAGATCGGACTCTTCCCACCTTCGGCCGTACCAGGGCACTTAAAGGCTAATACGGATATGGAGTTTGTGGGGACTGTAGTAACTTGAATAGTTGAATTCATGGGTCGATATAAGCCAGACCACCATTGAAAACCCGGAAGTAACGGACGTCCTAGCATGATACACCTTAGCAATGCGCTTCCACAGTTCTCCAGGTGGGATTCAAATCCAGACCCTTCGATCTTGTACGCAAGCATATCAGTTTTAGACCAGTGAGTCGGCATTCGACAGTGGTAATGTACATTTACATCGATCCATGAATGGCTGTGCAACCATTTACATATCGTAGATCGTAATTCTACAGGCTTACTAGCAACATTTTAAGTTACCAAAAAAGCTACGGAGAATGACAAGATACTAGAAAAGTTGAATTTTTATTTACTTTTTATTTATCACCTTAAAGTGGTTCATTTTTTCTTGTATTCTACTAAGGAAAAGTAAATTTCAGCGTTAATCCAAGGAAACATAAATAAGTTATAAGAACGATCAGTGCCGTGAACACTGACACTGAATATTGACGAAAGTGGATTTACTTACATTCGCCGTAGCTCTAATCTAGATCTGGCTAAACACAAAAACACACTGAAACCTCTCAGCATCGTTCATGACTTGGGTTTGAGGTATAGCAACAGTATGAACTCCTCCGAGCATATGGCTTCCCAAGTATCCAAAGCAAGAAATCTCATAGAATTTATAATGATAAATTTCAGCAACACAGAATCTAGATTAATATTATCTATAAATGTATCATACTCATCGTTGAATATAGCAGTTTAGTTTATAATAATTGCAGCGATAATGATTTGATGAAAATTGGAGTTTTCCAAAGAAGATCCACCAAAGCTGCTTAGAAGCATTATCATCAACTGAAGTTAGTCTCTGAATCAGGTGCATTAAACCAAAGCTTGCCTGTATTTAATGGCTCATAAATGGCATTTTTTAAATCTTTAGCATCCACCCCCCCCCGTACTCCATTACATCATACCACAAACTAAGCAATAAAGAGAATACTCTATTGATTCGGTGAACCTATAAAACATTTTGCCAAACGTTATTCAACCATGTGGAGCAGACTCCCAGTAAGCCTTCGCTGAAGGAAAACTATAACCCCGTTCAAGATTCTCCTTGATGACTTTCTCCGGTGGTTTGCGTCACCTATTAGGTACTAGTACGATGACCAGAATGTGATAAGGCAGAAATATTACTTTATATATGTTTTGTCTTCTTATAATAAACCGTAATCTCGTTTTTGTTTTGCTGTCCGCTTATGAAAGAGAATTTTATGGGCAATAATTGCATTAAGTCACTCAACAATATGAGAATGGCGACCAAAAACCTAAGCATGTGACATACTATATACAATACTATCTTATTAGAACTACTTGTTTCCTGAGGAATTCGATGCGGTGCATCCCTCTGGGACAAAACACTGTCCATATATTTCTTGCGATGTCTTTCTGTCAAGTATCTAATTCTCAAAGTTCTAATCACCCAGTGACCTGTAGTTAGTGTTGTCGTACTTAGTGACTGTACCTGCTTAAGAAAGTACTGCTACGGTATATTCTGTTTAGTTTGTACTTATATTTACCCATTTCGCACCATAAGCTCACAATGTTTTGTGCAATTTGTGAGTTACAAAGCAAAAATGGCAACCATCAACCAACTTCCTGTATATTTGAACTGAGTTATGTCAATGAACAATATTTCATTCGGCATGGCACTAATCTATTTGAGGTAGGATATCCTTGTATCAAATTAACGTGAACCATGCTCAGCATGACAAGCAGAATGTGATTTGTTATATCTCTGGGTATTTTTCATGTGTGATTTCATACTAATTAGTAATCGAAATGGGTGTACTTTTAACTAGGGTCGTCATCTAGTGGAGCAAAGAAATCTATATTTGTATCAGTACTGTTGTTATTTCGCGTGGTGATGATTACAGTGGTTCCTTGTTTTTTCAGATATAAGCGACGAGAATATAAATCTCATGGACTTCGACTAATGAGCCGTGAGTGACAAGCAAATTTTAGTTGCACACATCTATCTTTTATACCACGCCGCAGTGTAATACGAATATGAGGGGTGGTTTAAAGCGCTTAACTGCACAGATCAGTTGTTTTTCTTCCTTGGTAGCGACTTTCGTATTTCCATGACACTATTAACTAGGTTTCTACAGTAAGCTGCGAACTAATTCAGTGTGATATTCGTTTGCATCGTCACTATACTGGCTATAGGTTAATCTGTTTAATAGAGTCCCAATTCGTAGTAATTCGATTTTGAAATATTAATCAAAGTGAATTGATGAACATAGTGAGACATTATTTCCAAACTAACATTCGAGCGAGCAATTAACCTTGACCAACTATTTTATCTCTAGCATCTAGTTGTAGAATTATGTTAAAATGGACATATTGAATCTATTTGTTTACTAACTGCTAGCCTTAATCCTAATTTACAGTTAATTGGGAGTACAATTGCCTAGAGATACATAGTAGTACATTAAAGCTACACCATCTAGTGACTTGAAAGCCTCCCCACCCTAATATGGTGACAATAGTAAATTGTCGCAGCACAAATATATAAAATAATAAAATTGTTTACAAGAAATATACAAAACAAATGAAATGCTCCTCAAATTTCAACGAAAATTAGAACATTTACAAAATATAGTGAAATCCGCAGTGTTGTATTTTATTTCAGTAGAGTTATTACTGAATAAAATAAATTTTGAACCCCAATGGAACTATATTACATTTTAGAGTCTCTTTCTCTTTGAAAAACGAATGCTAATCTTGATCAAATAATAATATTAGCACAGTTATAATATACGCAATGGTTAAGTAATTATTATTTACATGGAAGTCCTTTATCATTCTTCTCTTAAGAATCATCATTGAAATTCGTGCTTCTTTAAACAGGAATTGTAGTGTTCACCAAGCGCGAACGCGTAACGGTGGTATCTGAAAGTTAGGATTTTTTAATGCGAAAAAATACAGAAAAATTGGGTAAACAAGAAAGCAGATCAAAAGTCTAAAAATGGTCAATCGTACGAGACTGTTTTTCACAGCTTTATCAACTTGTCATGTTTATCTAATACTCAATCCTACCTAAATGACAGATTACGCAAATAATGCTAGGCAAAAATAGTGAATCGGATAGTGGGGTTGTAATTTTTCATTGACTGAGGTGGCTTGAACAAGAGTCACGTATGCCCAAACATTGCATAACCGGTCAAGGGTAAAGAAGGCAGGCCAATCACCGAAATTCAACAACAATGGAACATATGGGTGGAGTACTGCGAGGAACTCCTGAATAAGCCGGCTCCAATGAATCCACCGGACATCGAAACAGCACACACAGATTTTCATATAGATGTCAGTCCACTGACGACGGAAGAAATCAGAATGTCCATCAGACAGATCAAGAGCGGGAAAGCAGAAGGACCCGACAATATACCAGCTGAAGTTAGACACCGAAGTAAATACAAACATGCCTCACCTTTTATTCAAGCATATTTGAGAGGAGGAACAAGTGCCGATGGACTGGAAAGAGGGACACCTCATCAATATTCCAAAGGAGATCTGAACAAATGTAAAAACTACAGAGGAATCACACTACTGTCAGTACCAGGAAAAGTCTTTAACAGTGTTGCTGAACCAGATGAAAGACACAGTAGACGCCCAACTTCGAGACCAGCAGGCTAGATTCCGTGAGGATCGCTTGTGTACAGATCAAATCACGACACTACGGATTATCGTCGAACAATCAGTTGGGTGGAACTCGTCACTATGCATCAAGTCCATTGATTATGAAAATGCATTTGACAGTGTAGATAGGAGAACATTATGGAAACTTCTTTGACACTACGGAGTATCTGAGATCGTCAATATCATCCGGAATTCATACAACAGACTACAGTGCAAAGTAGTGCATGGAGGACAGCTGAAAGATGCATTCCAAGTAAGGACCAGAGTCAGACAAGGCAGTCTACTCTCTCCCTTCCTGTTTCTTCTGGTGGTCGACTGGATTAGGAAGACATCGATATCCGAAGGAAAACACGACATACAATGAACTATCTGGTTGGACTTCATTTGATAACCGTGACAAGCGGTTGGAGATATTGAGTGATACGGTTCGAAATATGTCACAACGGCTCTATGTTGATTAAAACTGAATGACTTCTTCAATCATAATTATATATATATATATAACACGGCGGCCTGCTTGAGCATCTGGGCTACCTGTTCCTGCCATCTAGATATTTCAACAAGTTATCTATTTTTGTTTTAATATATCATCATGTTTTATTAATCGCATAACCTATTCTGCTGCGTTTCTGAAAAGTGTACAACCTTTCGTTGTCAAGGTTACAAGAAGCTCAATAAGAGACAATGTGGTTGCTGGCAATATACAACGAAAAGAATGCACATTATTCAGATGTTCATTTGCTGAACTGCTAACATCTAACTGGCGATCACTCAATATTTATCGCCAGTACCGACCAAGAAGAAAGAAACGGAAACTTGTTGAAATACTTTACGCTGAGAATTTTATATTGTACCAAAAATATAATATTGAATAAAGCTGATATATATAAAGCAAACGAACAATAATACTGACATTCTAAGAAAATGAAAAATGATTAGTATTTGTACTTTAATAAACTTACACAATAATGATTGGTGGCTCTTCAGAAAACTCTTCTCCAATAATTAATGGGACTCCTTCAGCTTGTAATATTTCAATAGGAAGTTGAAGCATTGTAGATAAGGCACGGATCTGTTAAACAAAACGTGAACGAAAAGTGAAAATACAACGAAAACAGTCGATATGATACCGAAGAATCAAGACTAACAATTAGGTCATTAGTTTATTGCTATGTTTGAGTTTTAGTTACTAAGTTCCCTATGTTTTAATGCCTTTCCAACTACTTCAATTTTGAGCGATCGCGTAGTTTCATTATCCGTCACATTTAGAGTGTGGCTGATACCAAAATACATAGAGAATAAGTCAATTTAATACCCTACTTTTAGCGATTGTAACTGAATGGATGCTCTGAAAATCCCTCTAAAGCGATTTGTTTGACAGCCCTGTTATTTTTCTAGTTTCTCTCCCTGTTTTGTATTTTAACTTTTATCCAGGACTCATGTAACCATATTTTCACACTTTTCAATCCTTTTTGATCATATATATATAATTGCTTAGTGGAGCAGATTCTGGAGACTACTTTAATTACAAAAATTTATTATTTTGTTTGAACACATAAATATTGGTACAAGAGGGCACCAAATATGTAAGCGCCACACAAAACAATGAGAATGGGAAGAGAAAAAAAAAGAAGGTACGGGGCTTTCATCGCAAAATAATACTACTTAGAGAAGCATGAAAACAAAGTAGGGCTGGACAGTCGTTTCGTCCTAATGTGATCACCCACTATCCCAATACGGGAATGAACGAAAACCTTTGTTTCGTGGTATGATACATCTATACCATTGATTGAAAATTTGGTGATTCACATTTCTAATGTCAACGAACTCTACATGATACCTGGAGGTCCAGGGTTCGAACTAGTGCGGGGTAAAGGGAGATTATTTATGAAGAGCCGTAGCCTAATGCAAAAATCTATGTCTAGCACTATATAGCTTTCAGAAGTCCAGTTCATGACGAAGACTATCTTTAACCTTAAGTAATCACTTTGTAAAACAATCATCCATATTCAAAATGGAAATAAACTTTTAACCATAGAGAGTAAATGGAATGTGACTGCTAAGTTATTTACAATAGCAAAGTGAATAATATTGTTACATATCAGTAAATAGCAAACTCATTGGAAGAACATGTATACAACCTTAAGGAAATAAATGCATCTCCTATAAAATATAAACAATCACAAGTCAACCTTGTAAAAATACACATTATAAACAAATTAGTTACTAAATTAAAAGTTATCTGAGAGACACATGTGTAACACAATCTTAGAGGAAATTATTACTCAATACAAACAATATATAAGAACGGTAAATTAAATACAATTTAACAGTAGATTATCTGACAAATAAACACAACATTAATTTCTCAAATCAACAAGAACAAAACATATGAGTCAATAGACAAAAAATATGAAAAGAGCACTGTTACTAACTTCAATTTGTCCACCCCACGTTGATGTTTTTTCTATATTGTCACAATATTTTTCAAAATTAGCTTCAAATAAGAGGAAAATGAAATTGTCAAAAAATTCTTACAATGTTATTCAATATATTTACGATTCAAAATGAATATTTTCAAGTTTAATCATAATTTCAAGAAACTCTTACAACTATTGTTGATTGTTAAAGATGAAAATTTTATTTCATTAGGACTGCAGAGATTAAATAAATTCACTGTAATATAGATCATAAACATACAGTTAAAAAGTGTTAGTTGACAACCATTTATAACTTATAACCAATCTGGATAAGTTAGTGGGTTAGAACACAGACATGTTTTACATACCGATGCAGAAAATCAGTGCTTGCGCTAGAACATGAGAGAACTGTAAAAAATGAGACGAGATTAAACTTGGACATGGCGTCAGTTTAGGCAGTCAGTATATAAGATAGTCTAAGTCATCTTAGTGGTTGAAACTTTCATTGTTAGAAGTAAATGAAATAATTATTATATATGATTAAAGGCGTGGGTGACATGGTTTTTCAAGACCAAATGATGTATCACAGTTGTATTTAATACACTGTCTTCCTCTTAATAGATCTTGAACATATTATTTTTTCTCTGTGATTTAATGAGCGTCTTTGCAAACTAAAGCTTTTTTACTAAAATTAGCTTTCAGCATATTATTAGTTCCCATTATGACGATGATATTACCATTTCTTCACACTTGAATATCATCATAGCGTTAATTTTGTCTTGATTAGCTAATGAATCATTGATTGAAGATGTATAGTTATTTAAATTAACTATTTTATACTTTAAGATATCTAGCTAATAACTTTGTTGGAGTTAGCTGAATTAATTTATCAGTTTTTTCAGGTGAATATACTATATATCAAAAGATGGAAATGTCCATAGTGAAAAAAGTAACTGGGAGTAATTACCGCAACTCAACAATTAAAGTTATAAAGTAATATACTCAGATTGGATTAAAGCAAAAACAACAAAAATAGTAGAATTATATGAATTCATTTTCATCCCATAGGTTCTCTTTAGCTGATTAAAATCTAGAAACAGCATTAATATTTTAATGTAATGGTTGCTTAAATCTTCGCATTGGTGATGTCGAGAATCACAATTAATTTGTCTCGTTCGACATATGTGCGTAATGCCTCAATATTGCCATTAAATCACAACCACTAGGAGCAGACGAGTCGTAAATGGGACGAAAGGAGCATCTTGGATACCACTGCTAGCCACCAATCAACTCATCGTAAAATCTTCGTGACTTAGTGGTAAGATAAGGGCAATGTGCATAGAATTCACATTTGCCAAAAGACATTAAACAACTGCAATCCTCGAAATCGATTAGAAGATTTGAACAAACAACACATATAAGTTGAAATTCGTCCCAATACACAAACCAGTGGCTAAGTGGATAACGCGACGGCATTTGAAGTGAACGATAATTGGTTTGAGTCCCGATGTGAACAGCAACACTGAGGTGACCTCATATTCGGCTGGGTTACAAAACAGATGTCCTGTATTTCATTGCTACCCATTACCATACTCTGTTTTCTTATTAATACTTATCAAAAATCAGTGTACATTATTTATAACGTTTAAATGAAGATTTCCTAGAACGTTGTTTCCATGTGTTTTCAACATTTTTCTTCAACAATTTTCACACTAGTTAACATACAGATGTCAAACCACTTAACAACTTTCATAACTCTTCCGTAAGTATTGTGGTTATTTTACCAATTTTCATTAATATAATACATTGGTATTGGTTTCAAATGATTATTACTGTTATTTCTAATATGTAAGCAAGTGAACAAAGTCCGCATCATAAATAAATTCATATTAACCAGGCACATTTGTTGTTTTTGCCTTATCCAAATTCATCAATGGAAAGAACTGCATGAAATTACTCAGATTTGATCCAAAAAGTAGTTTATCGGGCTGACTGGTTCACTTATCTTGAAAGTTTCATCAGCCCTGATGCGATGTTGTGCAACGAAATCTCCGCATGAGTTCAGAAAGCGAGATATTTGTATACCAACTAAAGAATGAATTTATTGTGCAGCAGTTCACTCTACTCTACTTTATGGGTGTGAAACATAGAAGTTAAGAATAGAGGATATTTACAGGTTACTATTTTCGATCATACATGTCTTTGAAGTATTGCTTGTGTATTTTAATAAAACCGAGTGAGTTATGGTGAAGTTAGGCATAGGGTCAGTCAGTCTTGAGTGCTGATATAGGTGTGAGGGCGGTTACCACTTCTTGGTAGCCCACACAGCGGAAGGGTTCTTCTAGAGGTATCTGTTAAGGAAATTCGTTTAGAGGTGGTCTTAGTGACCTGAGAGCGTGACTGCAATACCTAAGGGAAAATTGCTTGAGGCCGGTCACACACGACCTTTTTGCGAGCGATTTTAGTGTACTTGTTGGGACCTTACCGACGGATACAGAAATCTGTGGGATAAGGCGAGGTGCGCATTTTTAGGGTTGACCTTTTCTAACCTCACCTTTCCTTGTGGGAAGGCAGTATCGCTGTCATGCTGGTCGTCTGAAGGAAACGTTTTGCTGACGTCACACCTCTGTACAGTCAGTACTACGACTTTGCCCTTAGACCTTGGTTGAGCTGCCGACCTATCTGGCATGGTAAGACCTTGAAGAATGATTGTTCCAGCCAGTATAACCCGAGTGGTTCATAACGATAGTCAAGCTCGACTACTACGTCAAGGTAGTAGCAACGGTCAGGATAGCATAGGGTAATAAGTAAAGATAAAAAATGGGTACATGATAGAGACTTTGAGACGTTTTGCTGCTCTTCCTCGCTTTCTCATAACCTCTTCAAACTACACTAATATTTAGGTGACTTGTTTCAGTCAGTCAGTCGACAACGTAGAACTCCGTACGTACGTACGTACATCGGTTCGAGCTGCCATACCACATTAACACGCAGATACAATTGTAGATTTGAATCCCGTAGTGGTAGAGGTAGTAAAAGCAAAAGCAGTAATCGGAACGATTAGGGTCGGTCGCGGCCCGGATAGCTAAGTGGTAACGTCTCTGACTGTGAAGCTGGGTGACACGGGATCGAATCCGTCAGGGAGCACCCGTTCCCTTAAGATTATAGGTACATCTTGCTGACGAGTGCCAAGTAACACGAAACCCGGGTCCACGGAATCAGTCTTCCAAATCCTCCACGTGGATCCCCATATCCAACAACCCAATTAGAGCGTCGGATATTCGCTTTCATCCTCTCAATTTCGAAAACAACACCCCTGCCACGAGAAGGCAGTGAGTAGGACTTCCCTGGTAGAGGCTGTATATGCGTGGCCATGTGAGAGCATTTCGAGAGGGAGAGCGGACTCTCCCCACTCTCGGCCATACCAGGGCATTTGGGGGCAGTTACAATTTAGACCAGACAAGTAATAAAACAACTAGCTTTATTTCAAAGATATAGCCCTAAGACAGAACAAACGATTCTGGGCAGTGACAACAGTCAGATAAAGAGAATCTCAATCTTGAATGACACGAAAGAATTCACAAACTACAGGATCATGTTAAATATGATAAAGTGTTTTAAAATACCCAAATCGACACGACTGTAAGGTTTTGGCATAATTTAAAAAAATAATTTGTAATGAATTAAATTAATTAGTACACATTTAAATAAACATATACGACTGAGATGATAAATTAGCTTTTCCCGATTTTAGTGAGTACTAGAATAGGGGACAGAAATAAATCAACATATAAAGTTGTAGTTTTCAAACCATGCAACGAAATTTAGTCCATCAATACAACAGAGTACAAGGTAATTGATGCATTCAGTTGATCATTCAAATAATTCAATAAGTTTTTATCGCTGAATTTGTCTGCGATTTTCACTAATTATGTCGTACTTCGAGTATTCGGTCGATTCTCTACTCGGTTGTTAGGTGGTTGCTAGATATTAGTGTGATTTTCAGCACATATTACACTTTTAGCCCTAATATTTACTATATTTGCGTTTTTATCCGAGATGTCACGCTACACTATACTCAACACGTTCATAGTAGACAGGTTATGATTTTTACTTATCCCTTTGACCGATAAAAAAGTTAATATCCGTTATCACTCACTCAACCAGTCATATCGTGTACAGTGCAACAAATAAAAGTCTCCTGGGGGTTATACGACTACGTGTGAAGTTTTGAATAAGGGAATGTGAAGGTAAACAGCGATTCAGTGCTAATTTATTTTCAACAGGTCCACAGTTGATGGGATCTACCTTTTAAGCTAAATAAGTCGTAATAACTGAATTATATTTTAAAAAAGAACTTTGTTGAGAAATATGTGCATGAAGTTACGACAATCAATTAAACTAGAATACCTATACTCATTGGTTCTCCAGAATCTGGGTTGAACAAAAATGGTAGGAAATCATCCATATTTTTGCGAATGTGATACGATGCAAGATGACGCAAAATTTTCACTACTTGTTTCATTGTCAGATCGGTAGTAATATCATCAAGAATTTCTGGATTAGACATTTCAATCTTTCCTATCAATGTGTGCAATGGATAATTCCGAATTTTTAATTGATGCCCAATTGACTGATAAAGGCAATCTCCATCTGAAGGAACCTCACAATAAATAACATAAAGAAAGAACAGTAAAAGAATCATTGGTAGAAGTTATAACGACTGTTTCTGTCTCATTTAGATATTAATGAAGCGCGTACGTCTCTGTAAACAAATTACAGGAGTTGACCAGTAAATATTAGGGTGTTTACATTGCACTAATATCTGTTTACCCGGTTTTAAGTAAGATATTTTGTCTGAGCTGATGATACAAACCTGTTGAAGAAGGTTTGGGACCTGAGAAAGTCAAGTGCTTTAATCAATAGGTCACCATACACATAGGTTACTACAAACTATACTTATTTTATGACATCTATCTATGATCATCGTTTAGAAAAATACGTTATATTCACTAATACTGAAATCTTCAATGTGTCCGTCTTCATTTCAGTAGATCTGCTTGTATCCCGATGAAAATTAGGAGGCATGACACATGTACAAGTCTTTTCAATAGATTAGTCAACAATCTTGTCCTCAAATTCCAGTAATTTAAAAAACACCAAGTCCGTAGTTACAATGCAAATCAGGAATTCGTCGGAAACGTCTGTAACAAAACATACCTGTGACTTTTTCTGTTATTTACTATGGATCACGAAGTACATTTCAAATAACTTGTGCTTGTCAAGAATAAATACCTATACACTCAAATTTTCTAATACCATAAAATGATTGGGTATGAGTATTTCAACATGCCATAAAACTACTTGCGAATATATCTATTATGATACTTATGTGGGATTCATTTGTTAAACTTATTTCGTAAAAAAAATCAAAATGGAAGAATCATCAATGGCTTAGTCTGTGAAAAATTGAACCAGAGGACAGATATAATTTTTCCGTAACAACACAACTAGCTGCTCAAAGGAATCTAAAAAATACCGGATAGTTACAATAGATATGATGTAAGCAACAGATACACTTACATGCAACAAAAGCAATCACAAATCAACCGATATTTCAAATGCAAAACAATGACAGTCGCAGAAGATTGAGGTAGTGAACATCCAAAATGTAATGAGGATTTATCAAACCGAATATGAACTAACAATTATGGAACAATAAAACTAAAAGCACATAAGATGGGTTTGAATTTGCGAAAAGATAAGGCTTCTATAAACCTGAGAATTCATCCTTGACAATTTCTATACAAAAGCCGTATTAATGTAAATCCTAAGTGCCGTTTCAATTGTATACTTTTGTAAGCATTTTTCATTGCAGCAGAATTAAAGGGGTTTTGGTGTTAACAGAATTTTGCACCTATTTATGAAATTTAGTGGGTAACCGTTTGGTATGTGTATTGGTCAGCAGTTTTGTATCTTCTTCAAACGATTATACGTGGTTTATATTGTTTGAGTCCTGTCAAAAAGGCGCTTTATCAAACCTTGCTTACGTTGCAATAGACAGAAACTGGAAATTTAAACATCGACCAGGTCGAGTTGGCTACTTATAAACTAACCGCCTTTTTGTTTCATCCACCCATCAATTCAAGAGCATGTCCGAGAAGAGTAATCGGTTATTACTTTCTTCCGCTTATGTTAGTACGATATTATTCTGTACGTTATTGAGTTTATTTAATAACTGAACAACAACAAAACCTTTATCACATATAACGAAGATTTCATTCATGTGTTTCCAAAACAGAGTTTGGCTAATTTCAGAAGGCACTTTAAATACTTAAGCCTTGACAGATTATATCATCGAGATCGACTAAAAACCGACCGAATTCTGGTTGTGCTCCATTAGGTGCTTCTCATGTCTTGAAGCCGTATAGCAGGAATATATCTTAGTCCTATAATTCACCATAAATAAAATAGCAAGCCTCATGGTGATGTAAATAACCACAAGTATACTAAACGTTTAATTTGTTCACATCTTTATAAAAAAGCTTACTTCAAATAAACATAGGTGACGGGCTGTAAGTTCTTTTTCTAACTTTTTCATTTCAACAGATCGAAGACTATTAGATCTATCTGTTTGTATATTCATTAAAGCAGCTGTCTGTTGAGCATGTTGAAGAGCAGCTCGTTTTTCACGACGACGAGCTGCTTTACTAACTTTTTGTGTCGAAACAAGTTTATCTGAAGGATCCATTAGAGTATTTTGCAGATATTACCTTGAGTGCAAATATTATCCATATTCTCCGGAGACATCTTTTTTTCTAAATAACCACAAGTTGCAGAATTCTTCGTAAATGACTACAAACTAACAGATGGATTCGGATGACTCCAAGTTTTGTAATTAAAAATGGATCTAGATCACAACTGAAAGAACTATAATACAAGCTAAAATTACGAATATCTCTGAGGTGAGAATTGAAAATTTTTTAAGGTATGAAACTGGTTGTGATGGTTTTATGAAGCAAACGGCAGAAACAGTAAATTCTCATGGAAGATTTCTTTTAATTGAAAACTTGTCTGAGACAGAATAGTAAAATGGTGAATGAAAGTGACAACAACACATCACTTCATAGCTCAGAATAGCATAACATCAACATAAAGCGTAAACAAGAAGAAATGTCCTTTTTTACACTTTACGTCGGTTATTTAAGAGAAATTAGTAGAAAGTCGCAAGTAGTGCAGCTTGTTCGAATATGCCGCTTACTTCAAATTGTTCAAATGGATCAATCGGTTGTGGACGAAATGGAAGAAGCTTTCACTTAATGGGTTTCCGTATCTAGAAGCATAGGGTCACTAATAACTCAGGGCAGGAATCTGGGTATATTTAAGAGAAAATAAGGAAAAGATATTGGTAAATCATAGTAAGATTTAGTCCTTAAAAGTATGTCAAGTCTTCTTTTGAAAGACTCCTGGGAAGTCATTTGAACTAACTCAGCCGGCAGCAAATTCCAGAAGTTGACAACTCTTAAAGAGTAGAAGTCATGTCTACAAGCCATTCTGCTGAGTTGTATTTCCAGTTTCTGGGTGTTACTCCCAAACGTTTGTAGTGACTCGCATTTATCACGAGAACACGACTGGTTTAATAAAAACAATTATTATTATAACCAACTGTACCAGTGTTTGTGTTAATGTGCTTTTGTTTGACTGTGCTAATGACAGCTATATTTTGCTTCCATTCTTATACTTACACTTTGATTGTAACTTCGCGCGAATTCAGTTACGTTCTGTAACCAAGCTTGTATCCTGGCACGATCTCGGTATCCTTTCGATGCCACGAGATCGCCAGCAAATACATATCTCGATTTGGTCCATTAATTGCCTTCTGATATTTGGCTTCTCGTGGATTTTATGGATTTATTTGGTTACGTTCCACCTACGCCTTCTGATTTATTTGGCACGTGTTTCTTTGTAGCGGTGTTCATAGTTAATCTCAACTCAACGCCAGGCTACACGTTTGTATTGGAGCTAAACTTAAGTAGGTGTTTCAGGGGATGTCCAGAAGTGTTAAGGATACTGTTAGCAATTAAAAGGTCAGCTCTATGACTCCTGTAGCTCAACAGGTAGAAACTTAGTGATTGGAGGCGCTCTTCATAAGGCTTGAATTTGAGTTCCCGAACTGATTTCGTGGCTCGCCGTTGGATACGTTCCAGAGTGTCCTTATCATTTTGGAGTGAGGGAGGAAATACTATGTTTCCGCATTGTAAATGGGGACGAATGGAACTGTTGAAGACTATGTGGAAAGTTCTACCGTCGAAATGGCCAAAATGAGCTTCAGTGTTACCAGTGCAAGGTTTGCTCGAAAAGCATTTTTGTCACAGTTAATGTAAGACTTCAAATCGTAGGGCAACAGCCTTCAAAATCTTTCTCAACTCGTGATACTTCCAAATGGGAGTTGTCTAAGTTGTAGCTGTAGTTTGCAATATGTCTCAGATGGGCTTCTTTACACTTTTGAAGTGTTTAAGGTAGGTCCAATATACGTATGTTCCACTAGATTGACTTTAGGCAGACCGAATTCCCTTATAGTCGAGATATGAGTGAATCCAAGACGAGTCGAGCGGGATAATATTTCCAGCATACTATTGTCGTATTTGATATCAGCTGTAGGTTTTCTGTAGCTGACTCCAATTAGACACCTTGATGTGGTAGACAATACGAATTCATCAAGATTGATAAACTCTTGGTTAGGCATTTGATGTACCTCCAGGCAAGACCATAAATATAAGGCTACTCCATTTCCAATTCCTGTTTTTATGTCACTGCGAAACAAAGACATACTGGGTATTGCTAGCTCTTGGTCCGTAAACTTAGATGTTCCTATCAGATGAGTATTATTAGTACTACTGAGTTCACTCAGCTTAACCATTTTATTCTGTAAACTCGCGGTGTTCATGCATAAGCAGTTTATGGTTTCAATTTGAAACACATGAACTTCCCCATCCTGTTTATCTGTATGAGCCCTGTGTGAATAGACAGGTAACCTACCTACATAAGGTTTTCTAAAATGGAAGCAACATTGTTTTCTGCGTTTTTTATGACCTAGGCAGCCCAAAAGTGGAATAGTTAGCCCCAACTAACCTTTGTGCTTTATCCTGGTGTCGTGTGGCCTATCCGGATGTATATAAACATCAGGTGGCAACCGGTGCCTGTTGGCATGAAATGCAACCCCGATGTCTGAGGATGGGAAGGAAATCTTCATCGGCCGGTGTCTGTGGAAAACAACGTTTTGTTTAAGAACAGTACCAAAACAACAATATTTATACACTAGAAAGTTTTGAAATTTAAACATCAATAATTTTTTATTTTCTTGTTGTCAGTGTTAATGTATGCTTGGTGGCAGTCACAAACAGCTTGCTGCATGTAAGTAAATTGCATGATCTTTGCGTTTTCATTCACTATCAATTAATACCTCCTTTGTTCTATAAGATGAGTTTGGTAAAAGTATATGAGAAAGTTCGTAGACTTAGGACAACAGTGAAATCACCAAGCCCCTCGATTGTAACAGGTCGACATATAACACAAAGTTCAATAAAATGCGAGCAATACTCCTAAAAATACATAACTTGCTTTCATCCAGTCAACTTTCTAACGAAAGCCCGATATTCAACAATTCAATTTAGCAGTAATTTACTTTGTATTAATAGCAGCAAAAACTAAAAACAACTGCAATGAGAATAAATACTCCATAAAATGGATGATGATGGTATGTGAAAGAGGTGAAATCGCTAATTCATTTCTTCAAAGGAGTAATGACGTTGAACTATGTCTACAAAAATTCATATACCGGGAGGAACAAATTAGCATGGCGTTGAAGAAATTTATGACAAACTGTTTTCAGACCATCAGAGATGATGACTGCACTTCAAGTGCTTTTCGATATCTGATATCGGATTTACGAACTTGAAAAAGCGTTCAATCCAAGTCCATCAACAGTGGTACTCGTAACCAACTAGGATTGAAGACCAATGTGCTCAGATATGTTGAACCTTGGTTTAATACCTTTGCTTTTGATACATTTTATGACGCCGAAAGTATACGGAGATTGACAACACCTTTGCCCGATACGTTTTTTATAATCGAAGTATGCCAGCCCAGTCAAATCAGAAGTCAGAAATGAAGGAGTTCGAAGATATATTTCAAAGGCTGACGGTATGTGGAGGAAGATTTGGTCAAAGCTGGCTAGATGTTGCAAGGGAAGTTTAGCATGGCATGCACTCGTGACCTGGTGCGAATGCTTGATCGGACACCTTTAGTTAGGTGAGTCTAGTAAAACTAATGCAGTCAGTATCTAATGTCGAAGACCTACAGAGTTATTGTATATGGGGATTTATTTACCTCTACAAATCACTCCCTCTACAGTGAAGCTGTGATGACCCAAAGACATAACCATTCAAAAGTTCGAACCCGATGTGTTTGTCGTTCATAAACACTATTCTAATAGCTTGTTATGTTCAAGAGCGTTTAGTCGTCTCTCAGTAATATAAGGGACAAAGTGGTACAATATAATAATGAAAAACAGGTACAATAAAATGTCGATTTATCCTTAACGTCGTCGATTTTTTCATGATCTCTAGCCGTCCTGGAAAAGAGAAAGAATGTGTGAGTACGTGTGAAATTGCACGCGTATGTGCAAAAGGACATAAAACGGGAGAAAAAGGAAGATAAACTGGCATACATGAGTTTCGCATACATGAAATAGCGTTTTAGTGGCCATAAATTCGACTCCAGCACACATGTTGCCAATCCTCGTATATTATTATCGACTTAAATCGCGCCAGTGAATAACGGAATTAAATAGGTCAAGTATGAGAATGGATTTCAAATACGTATATGTCATACCATCATTGATCTAGACAGACGATCAAATGAATGAAGCGAAAAGAGATGATGTGATGTGGAGATAGCGTGCGAGCAAACTCCATTTAGCCAAGCGTAAATCGATATATATAGTCAGACAAAAGTATGTTGCAGACACGTGATGAATAAGGTAAGAAATGAACAAGCATACGCATACATTAAAAATGGTTAAGGCTTGTAGGCGAACAAGTGACAAGTTCAAAATGTAACTCACGAAAAGGGAATAAATTGGCCTGTCTGGAAGCTAGAATAAGCTGTGTGGGTTTAATATAGCGACCGACACTATAGCGTGTAACAATTTCTGCACAACTACTTTTTTCTGCAATGTATACATATACATGCATAAACATATAAGCAAAAAATAGGTTTTAGTTTTTCAACACAAACGATACGAAAAATTAATAATAACGTGATAAAACAAAGTGTTATGTTATCTTACGTGTAGTTATCTTTCTGGTGTTCCGAAAATGTGCCCTTTCAGAAGGCGTTATTTGGGGTCGGTTGTCAGATACCGATGAAGTTCGTCGTCACTGTCGATTATCGAGTGGGGTATCATTATTGTGGGGCTCGTGTCGTTCGATCATGCCAGAGAAAATCGACAATATTATGATCTTATAAATATGCGGCTTTGAGACGATCAATTCTGATTCTATCGCTAGTTCCATCTTTCAGCAGTTTAAAAATCCCCATAGAATATTCAAAAATGAAGAATGTTTGAGCAAACAATTGTTTTCAATAACTTCATCATCAGGCTGTAAAGTTATAAGTCCATGATTATAATATTTTACGAAAGCCAAAATAAGGCATGTATTAATGAATTTGACAATGTTATGTGTTAAAAATGGTGAACGTTTGCATCTGTTACGGCATATATATATACTTCAAAAGTGTGTTCTTTGCAAATTAGAAAGGTCATTAATTAAAGATCCGGATGATTTGGGGTGAAGAGTCCAGCCGCAATAAGTAGAAGAACATTATAGCAAAGATGAAAATGTAAAAATAAAAGTAAAAAATTGTGTGAATATAATGCATAGTAGGAGAAATTTCACCTTGTCAACTGAGATAATAATAATATTGTTGTGCGAATATCATATGCAATAAGGAGAGTGTTATCAAGGTAGTTACGGTAAACGAATTGGGAATGATGGATGTGAAGATTAAGATAAAAGTAATAAAAAAGAAGGGGTTAAGAGGTTTACAATATTCGGTCTAGATATCCGGTGATCCAATCGTGGTCCAAGTTAAACGTAGAGGCTGGATATACCTTTTCTAGATATATAAGTTTGGTTTTCTGGAGTTTATCCAAATAGCTTCGGCTATGTAGAGCAACCGTAATATAGCTTCCTGAGGTAGATAT